TGACACCCTCAGCCTCCGTGACCCCTCATGGTACATGGACACGGGAGCATCCCATCACATAGCCTCTGACACAGGTACACTTTCTCATGTTCGTTCTCAGTCTTTAAATTCATCTTCATACATCACTGTTGGTAATGGTTCTAAAGTTCGTACTACGGCTACCGGCACTTATCACTTCCCTACTTCCCCCTCCCTGTCCCTACATAATATCCTAGTATCCCCACATATTATCCATAACCTTATCTCTGTTAGAACTTTCACCCGTGACAATAATTGTACCGTTGAGTTTGACCCCACTGTTTTTCTGTGAAGGATATGCAGACAGGGCCCGTGATTCATCGGTCAAATGATGCCGGCCCACTTTATCCCATGAGCCCACCAGCTACCCATGCCCAAGCCTACGCTGTCACCGCTGATCCAGAGCTCTGGCACCGGCGTTTAGGCCACCCCAGCCATGCCGTCCTTCGTGGAGTCCCCAGTTTATCTCAGTGTCTTCCTAAACAATTTCAAAATTCTTTATGTCATGCGTGTCAATTGGGAAAGCATGTTCACCTCCATTTATGTCTTCGAGTCGTATTTCTAATTTTCCATTTCAACTCCTCCATACTGATTTGTGGCAATCCCCTGTTCCCAGTGTTACAGGCTTTAAGCATTATATGTTACTGTTGGATGATTTTTCTCATTACTTATGGATTTTTCCCTTGCGACATAAATCTGATGTGTATTCCCATCTTAGGACTTTTATTGCATATGTGAAAAATCAATTCAACACCACTATTAAAGCTGTACAGTGCGACAATGGCACCGAATACCGAAATACTCCCCTCAAAATAATATTTGAGAGTTTGGGCATCATTTTTCGTTTTTTTTGTCCCCAGACCAGTCAACAAAATGGTCGTGCTGAATGCACCATTCGCACTCTCAACAACACTGTCCGTTCTCTTTCAAGCCAACCTCCCTCCTCAATTTTAGGTCGAGGCCCTCTCTATGGCCGCACACCTGTTCAACATATTGCCCACCACCACCCTTAACTTCCGCACACCTCACGAAGTTTTCTATGGCCAACCCCCCACATATTCCCACCTCCGTGTATTCGGTTGCCTCTACTACCCAAACATCTCTGCCACTGCCCCTCACAAGCTAGCGCCTCGCTTGACACGTTGTGTTTTTCTCGGGTACCCGACTAACCAACGTGGTTACCGGTGCCTTGACCTCAACACTCATAAGGTCATTGTTTCTCGTCATGTCGTCTTTGATGAACACTCGTACCCCTACAGTCAACGTTCCACTCCCAATGAACTGGCTTTCCTCGACTCCACGGAGGACGACCCCAACCCCTACCACCTCCAACCCACGGCCCAACCCCTTCCCCCCTCTACCCCACCCACGGCCCAAACCCATTCGCCACAACCCACGGCCCAACACACTCCCCCATCTACCATACCCACGGCCCAACCCAGCCCGCCCACGGCCCACTCACACCACCCTCGGCCCACCCCTGCTCACCCCGAAACAGCAGCCCAGTCCTCCTCCGCCCCACTCACCACCCACGGCCCAATACCCAGCCACCCCATGGTCACCCGATCTAAGGCAGGCATAACCCGTCCCAGACACATCCTAGATCTCAGCACCACATCTCAAATATCCCCACTCCCCCTACATACCGTAGTGCTCTTAAGGACCAAAACTGGTATGATGCTATGTGTGATGAATTTAATGCTTTAATTAAAAACGATACATGGGAACTTGTACCCCCCTCCCCCACACAAAATGTTATTACTGGTAAGTGGCTCTTCCGCCAAAAATTTGGCCCTACAGGTGATCTGTCCAGGTATAAAGCTCGGTGGGTGGTCCGTGGATTCAATCAGCGCTTCAGCATCGACTATGAGGAGACCTTCAGTCCGGTTGTCAAACCAGCCACAGTTCGCATTGTCCTCAGCCTAGCACTTTCACGAGGGTGGTCGATTCATCAATTGGATGTGAAGAATGCCTTCCTTCATGGCACACTTCAGGAGACAGTCTATGCCAGTCAGCCATCCGGCTTCCAGGATCCCGCGAGGCCCCATTATGTGTGCAGATTGAAGAAGGCATTATATGGCCTTAAGCAGGCTCCCCGATCTTGGTATCATCGCTTTGCAGGTTTCCTCCTCACATTGGGTTTCCGTGGTTGCAAGAGCGATACATCACTCTTTGTCTACACCCGAGGGAATGACATGGCATATCTGTTGCTCTATGTAGATGACATTGTACTCACTGCTTCTTCATCCCCTTTACTTTAGCGCCTCACTCAGCAGCTCAAGGGGGAGTTTGCCATGACAGATATGAGTGATCTCAATTTCTTTCTCAGGATCAATGTTCAGCGGACTACGGCGGGGCTCTTTCTTCATCAGACTCAGTTTGCTCACGAGATCTTGGAACGTGCGGACATGCTCAACTGCAAGCCCATCTCCACACCTGTTGATACAAAGGCAAAACCGGGGCATCCTCTGGTACGCTACTTTCCGATCCCACCTTATACAGGTCCATTGTTGGAGCACTGCAGTACCTCACTTTCACACAGCCGGATCTCACCTATGCCGTCCAGAAGCTGTGTCTCCACCTTCATGCCCCCTGCAGCACTCATCTCACTGCCATGAAGCGTGTCCTCCCCTACCTGCACGACACCACCACCCATGGGATCACTCTCCGCCGCACACGTACTGATTCTTTACAGGCATACTCAGATGTTGATTGGGCAGGGTGTCCCGACACTCGTCGCTCTACCTCCGGCTATTGTGTTTTTCTTGGCGACAACCTCATCTCTTGGTCCTCTAAGAGACAAGCCACCACATCCCGTTCGAGTGCTGAGGCCGAATATAGAGTAGTTGCCAATGCCGTGGCTGAGGCAAATTGGGTTCGAAATCTCCTCCTCGAGTTACAGCAATCTCTGCGCCGCATCACACTGGTCTTCTGTGATAACGTCAGTGCTGTGTACCTGTCGACCAACCCCGTTCAGCATCAGCGCACAAAACACGTAGAGGTTGACATACACTTTGTCAGGGACAAAGTTGCTCTAGGGCAGGCCCGTGTTCTTCATGTTCCCTCTTCCTCCCAGTACGCCAACATCTTCACCAAAGGGCTACCTTCTCTCCTCTTCACCGACTTCAGACACAGTCTTGGCATTCGCCCGTCACCGGTCACGTAGTTGGCAGCATGTTAAATATATTACTGTATATTTAATATCTTTTATATATAGTAGGTTTCCATTGTATAGGGTTTCCTTGTTTATTTCCTACCATAGTTAGGAGACTCGTGCTTTGTATATATACGGGGCTTGACTCCACAAGATTAATATAGAAAACAATAATTCTTCAAAACAGTTAAGATTCCAAAAAACCATCAAAAGAACATGTTGGATAAGTTACATATAAATATTATATCGGTGTTTTCCAACATTCTACGTAGTCAACATTTAGCCTTAACATCTAAGTAGTCTACATTAGTCTACATTAGAAGTAGTAAACATTCAAAATACAAAATATTTAAATGCAAGAGAAATTGGTCGTTAAAATATTTCTTGTTTGGAATTTTTAGTCGCTTCGAACGTCGCAGTGTAGGTGTTGTCTCTTGGGCACAATGATCACAAACAAAAAATAATCCCATCCCACATCACCAATTTGTAAGCACGGAAGATGACCACGTACACGGAAGCACTTCTAACACTTTTCCATAACATTAGGGTCTCGATTACTCTTGCACTTGTAACATGGACCCACAAAACTTCCAATTCCTGCTTTAATTGTGGAATAAATACACTAATTTAAATGTATTTAAAAAAATTTATTTATATAAAATTTAACATTAATATAACGTTTTTAACAGGTTAAAAATGGAAAATGGGCCGAAAAAATAATTAAATGCCAACCCATTTAATTAGTTATAAGCCCAGCCCAAATAAAAATTACCCAATGCCTAACCTATTAAAAACTATCCCCAAACCCACGTCTCCCTGCGGCTACGTGTTTCATTTGCAGCCATCCGCCTCATTTTTCTATACCTTATAAAAACATCGCTGATTTCTTTTGAAATCCGTTGGATCGCCGATTAGAGAGAGAGAGAAGGGAGATAGATGGAGCATTCTACAAAGGACAGATCGAAGTGGCTAAAGTGATCTAATATGGTATTCTTGTTCATAATTGTTTTTATGTAAATACTCCCCTTTTATCTCAGATCTGATGAATTTTTAAATTTTCAAATATGATATCATTTTTTTCGATTTATAAATAAAATATATAAACATAAGAAGCATGAAAAATATTAGATCTGCTTGAATACAACCATGCATGTGAAGTATTTCAATTCGATTTAGCATAAGTATATCTCTTAATAAATGAAATCTGTATTTTTAAAAAAAACGTATTTTAAAATGGTAAAAGATTTCTTGATTTCTTATCCGATTTAATAGATAGATGCATGTCAAACATTTCAAGCAGATACATAACAAGTGTATAATTTATTCAATTAACTATATATACATAGGGTTTCCGAAATTTTTAGTAACTTTTTTCCACTGTAAAATTTTCAAGAAACTATATCTTCATAAAAGATGTGCAATGCATATCCGAGAATTTTTTTTAGTTCCAGTAATATTGATTTTAATTAATTTTATTTATACTGTATGTATAAACTATTATTTTTTGTTTTTCTGAGTTCAAATTGAAAGATTACCCCAATTTTATTTCCTCGAAATATTTTAGGGATAGATTTTACTATGTAATTTTAAAATATCCCGTGCTGTATAAGTTATGATTGTATTTTCCTGTTTAATACAGTACATATTTACAAAATTATTTTCTTTAAAAATACTTGAATATAGCTTAATATGATTATTGTGATGTGAAAAAAGGGAGTACACATTAAAAAATTAACATAGCTATTGAACCTCTGTTTACATGTTCAATGAATTTGCTTGAGCATGTTAAGGTTCAATTGCACATATAAGAACTAATTCTTCAGGTTTGTGTATTGCGAAGAGTTTAACAGAATTACAACACTCTACAGGTAATATTTTATATAATATATATATATATATATATATATATATATATATATATATATATATATATATATATATATATATATATATATATATATATATATATATATATATATATATATATATATATAAGATTAACTTATTTGCATGAATGTTTAGCCTGTGATGAGTGTAGAGTGTGATATATTTGAATCTGGGAATAAAACAATGCTCTGAAAAAGGTTTTTGAAACAACACTCTTTGTATAGATTCAGGTCATTAAGAGTTAGATTATTTATGTGATTCAAATGCTTCATTCACTACTCTATTTATTTTAGTTTAAAACCGTTGTAGTTTACATTATTAAGAATTTCATATTTTGAATAAAAAATGTGTCTATATTTTCGTCATTGCAATAGAATGTGAATGGAAAGTTGAGAAGTGTAGTTAACTTACTTTGAAAAGGAAGAATTGAATGATTCTCTTGGATGCTAAGGCTCAACCTCAATGTGGTGGTTGGTGTATCGGTTCGGTTCGGCCGGTTTCGGCCCAAAACCGAAAAAACCGAAAGTTAAAAGTACTCATAATAACAGACCGAACCGAACCAAATTAAAGTGAGAACCGAACAAACTGAACCGACTAAAAACTGATCGGGTTCGGTCGGTTTGAAAAAACCGAATTTTTCAATCCATAAACCTACTGCCTACTGCATATATGAATCATTTCTAAAAATTTTAAAAGAAAGTAATAGCAAAAAACACTTAATTTAACAAAGAAATATGAAAACACACTTAATTTAACAAAGAAATTTGAATCAGAACAAAGAAATTTTTTGTTGAAATTACACACTTTATTCAATTACTCCAAAGTGGGAGTATTGGGAATTGGGTTTTTTGCTCAAATTACACACTTAAATCAATCACCATCTAACAAAGACAAATATTAACAGCTCCTTGAGATTGTTGCTGTTGCTGCTCGGGAATGGGATGACGACAAGCTCCATACTGATGCGGCAACGAGATGTGATGATCGTCGGCCATGGCCCTTGGCTAGTAATGCATCTAAAAGAATAATAATTAGCAACAAAAAAGAATGAACAAACCTGGTGAGTGGTGATTGCTCATTGGTGACGCCGGAACGGAGATGTGATTTTCAATTAGGTCTTGGCGTGAATGGCGTCGGTTTGAGAACGCAGGAACCGGGAGAATGGGAGATGGTGATTGCCGATTAACCGGAGAAGGGAGCATGACACGGCAAGGTTGGGATTTGGGACTTTCTGCCGAGTTCCAACTTGGGACTGGGAGACAGGTTGTGAATTGAGTTGGGAGAAGGGCTGAGAATTGGGCTTTTTTAAATGGGCTGTAACTAAAAGATTTGGTCTGGGCTTATATATGTTTAATAATTAATACACATATTATGGGCTCGGTTATTCGGTCGGTTTCGGTTAACATTGCCCAAAACCGAAACCGATAACCGAATTAACCGAATATTTTTGACATTAAAACCGAAAACTGAAACTGAATTTAAAATTGCGGTCGGTTAGGTTAAATTGTATCGGTTAATCGGTCGGTTCGGTTAAATTGCTCACCCCTAGTTATGGAGGAGTAAATGAATTAAGGGAATGCGATAGGAGATATAAATGATATTAGCATAGGGGAGTAAACAAATAAAAGCAAGCCTAGTTCTACTATAGGTGTATGCCTCTAGGTGTTTTAGTCATTTTTTCTAGGTGGTGTATCTCTTTCTTGGGGCATTCAAAATGTCATTTATTGTTCAATGTTATCAAATTAATGAACCGTGTGGTTCATTCATTTTATATATATAAATTATAAATTATACATATATACCAAGTGTATACATATCATTATTTATGGTCAATTAATATATTATCATTCTTAACCTTAATGTTATATATATTTCATTTTAAGTTTACTACATTTTTTGATAATTCAAAATCATCCATGTAGCGTTTTCAAAAAATAAATTATTTCAAAGTATGTATGTATGTATGTATATATATGTGTGTGTGTGTGTGTATATATATATATATAGTAATCATGAGGCTATTTTTACTGATTTTTTTTTAAAAGTCAATTTCATCCAAGTTGCATTTCATAAAGTAAATGAAATATATTATTTCAAATAAATATTTTAAAACGATATATATTCATATGTATAAATATATACATATATATCAAAACTATTTATAATATATTTCAATCATATATCGTTCACCTCCCATGTAGAATTAAGTTTACTATTTTTTTGATAAGTCGATCAATTTAATCCATTTTCATTTTATAAAGTAAATAAAATATATTATTTCAAAGGTTTTATAAAATAAATAATTTTGAAGTATAAATATATGTTTCCACATCACGACATTCTATAAAAGAGTACATGTATTAAATGGTAACTTGATTTCCAATGCATGAACCATAATTAACTTTTTCCTAGAAGAGTGTGAGTATTTTTCTTGAGACAATAAATAGTACATGTATTTAATGCTCAGATTTGGAATACACCAAACCGTGTTGATGCACGGGTAAGTATTTAATGCTCTGATTCTTGAAAGATGTTTACTTATTTCTTGGGCCTCAAAAAATGACATGCATTAAATGCTAAGATTTATTAAAGATTTCAAAAGATTTCTTGGTTTATTAAAAAGTAAATGTTATAAATTCCACACCATTGAAACACGAAAATTTAATGCATTTAATGCACAGATAGTGCGTATTCTTATTGAGCCTATAAACGCCAGAACCGTATATTATCCTCGAGTAGTGTGTATTTTATTTAGCCAATAAATATGACATGTTTTAAATGATAAGGTCGGATTAAATGCAAAGATCATTGAAGATTTCAAAAGATTTTTGGTTTATTAAAAAGTTAATGTCATTAATGCCACATACTTCTCAATTCCAGTTTAGAGCATATAATACATGTAATTCCATGAAAGACTAAAACATTTCTTGATACTCTAAAATACATTCAACCGTGGGAGGTGAATGTATACTTTTTGGTATTAAAAAGGGTGACTCTTTTGAAATGTTAAAATGCTAAAAACTTTGCAAAGCCACAACTGTATTACTCCTTGAAGAGTGTGTATTTGTATTGAGCCAATAAATATGACATGTATTAAATGTCAAGATTCATTGAAGATTTTAAAAGATTTCTTGGTTTATTAAAAAGTATATGTAATTAATTCCTCTATCTTATCAATGAGTCATACACCAACAATTCAAAAACATAGGGCCCTTCATCCATTACGTTGCTTCATTTGTTTCCATCGCTCTTATACAATCACTTTTTCAAAGCCTCCCTCTTGACCTTGTGGTCGATAACTTATCAAGGTGTTGCCGCTTGATCGGATCCCCGCTCTCAATTGCGTCGATCTTCCGGTGGGAAGTGGCCTCAGTTTGGCCTGAACTTGGGTTATTTGAACCGATCTACGATAAAAAAGAGAATATTAAGTAAAGAAATTGACTTGCGTTTATTCTCATGTTAATATATTGAAAATAGAATTAGAGACCACTTCTCCAACTTTCTGGCTTAGGTCCTCTAGGGAATTCCACAAATCATCACCCCATCTTCAACAGTTTCTTCAATAACATTTTCGACCAAATGTTCATATTTCTTGAGAATTTTTGAATCCGTAACGAAAGATCGAACACCAAAACTCCTAGGGCCCATTCAGTGTGGACTCCCACCTTCGGACTTCAAGACAACATTGAACAAACCTTTCTGGCCGATTAAATGATTCAACTCCGTGGGGAACAAATTAGGGTCCATTTTTCTCTGCTAGGCAAGAAATGATAATGAATCAGTTGAAAAGACTACCAAGTAAGCAATTACATAAGAAAATGAATTCATATTCGGTTCTACAAACCTCAAGCATAAGCTCTCTAAAGAGGAATGCACTTGCACCTAAAATTTCATTGCACTCCCTATTCCAAAGAATGAAAGAGGTGTGGCCAGTGGCGTCAAAGACATGAACATTCACCTTATACATGTTCATTATAGTTAAAACATGCGTTAGATCGAGAAAAATTATGTTTAAAGTTTAATTTTTTTTTGGAATTGAATTTTTAAAATATAACGTACTTGTACACTCCATGGGCCATCATGAGATCACATCCGGAACATTTGAACTGAGAATGGTCTGGTATAACCTTCTTATTGCAGTCAGTGCACCCCAAATAACACCAATCCGGTGTATTCTCAATAGAAGAAATCTTGGCAAAATATAGTAAGCTCCAGGCTTTTTATTTAGGCAGAAATATAGAAATTAGATTTAAAATGCCGTGAATGGACAGAATATTAAATATTTAAAATTTCAAAGTGGTGGATTTCACCTTTTTTGTGTCAAGAAGAGTCTTTAGCGGGGTGATTTTCACAGGACCAACATCATCTTCATTCTCCCCAAGTAACATCAAAGTGGTGGAAGCACTTGCATCATCAACTTGCATGGGCAAGCTGTTCGAAAATAACCTTATGAGTACATTCCTCCCAAAAAAGACATAAAGAAACTTTAGATTAGAAAACGCACCTAGCTCAGAAATGATTAACTTCATCAGAGTTTCCATCGAAAATCATCTTGGTGACATGAAATGAGCTTGAAACTGTCACAGCACCTGAAAAAAATTAATTTAATTTTTTTCCAGAATTGTTCTATGCAAGATTATAAATAAAGAAATGATTCGTATTAGAAACACGCTTTAAGATTTTTATCTTTCCCCTGTACCGCCTGGGGCGACAAAAGCTTAGGAGCAAAATAAAAGGTCCTGGAACATTCTGGGTCAAACAATTAAGAAACTTCTCGACATATTCACCCATAAGGTGCATGCCAAACGGTTGCCTCTGCAATTTTTATTTCACTATCATATTATTTTTTCAAATAGTTAATCTTATGTAGTTGCTTTATAAATAAATTTTCATACTCATGATCCTCAAGTATTAACTCCATTAGTTTCTCTTCTCCACCTCTTTTGATGTGTGTTTGAACTTTCGAACGCCCCACAATTTTTCCAATCACATCTGCAACATTTGGTTAAGTTAAACTTTTTATTATATACTCACTCTATGTCAAACTTTAAAACTGTACTTGTTAAAATCACTTTCAAAAAAATGCATTTACCAATGAGAAGTTGATCGTTTAAACAGGGCTGTGCTTGAATGCTCGAAAAAGATTTCAAATCATACTTCATTTTGGGAAAATCTCTTTCGCTCAAAGTTTTCACTTCTATCTTGGTGTAAAACACCAACAAAGATTTGTGAGAGGTTGTCTTGCATAATTGGTAATTGCCATGAACAAAAACATTTCGAATCGCAAAGACACCATCTTCCACAATTTGGTTTTCAAATTTCTTCTTTTCGGGTCTTTTAAGATGAGCATGAATCCTTGTACCCTGTAAGAAATGATAAGAATTAATGAAATGAAAATAATTAGAAATGATGATTGGAAGTACGTGAATATTTTAAAATAGAATTAGAAAGAAGAAAATACATGTTCATCATGGAAGATGACTTCCATGGAATCGTCTCCCTTCGCCCAAGCCAGAACGTGGTAAACGTGTATAGCCCGCAACTTTAGGATCCATGTCGTGCGACTGTTATCAATTTTGTCAAGAGAATTCCATATCACACTTTGTGTTGTTTTGGACATCCTTACACTTTAGACCGTGCAAATGAAGTGCTTAGAGCGTGCAAGGTGAAGTGGTATAAATACCGTCTCATAAATCGAAACTCAACTAATGCATTAAATACCCTCCTACTTGTTAGCCTTGGTTTGCTAAGTCTCATGTTTTGATGTTAACAAACAATATAAGAGCTTGACGTTTGTTTAAGTGTTTCAGGTACAATGAGAATCTATTAAGATTCGGTTCTCAAGAATGAAGTCAAAACACTAAACTAGCGTAGAATTTAGGTATAAACCAATGTAAGGATATGATTTTATATACCTATATTCAAAAGCTCAAAAACACTCACAAAATATGTTTAAAACCCTTTTATAATCATTTTCAAACATTCAAAAAGTTTTAAACAAAATTGGAAATGATTTGGACAAAAATGAAAAAATTGTCAAAATGGTCATAAGGTACCTAGGTACCGTGAGGGGTACCGTAAGGGGTACTGTGAGTTAATCTGATACGGACCCCCCTACCGTATGGACGGGACCCCCCTACCATGTATAGGTACCGTGTATAGGTACCGCCAGAGAGTTTTGGCCTGAGAACAAAACCTAGCTACCGTACGGGACCTTGCTACCGTGACAGGGTACCGTTACCGTTGGAACACTATTCCTGATTGCTGATTTTTGAATTAATTCAACTCTAATCACCTCCTAACGGCTAATTAACATCTTCCACTATAAATATAGGCCTAATATTTCTTATTTTAACAAGAAACAAAGCTCTAAACATCCTCCCTTTACATTCTAAGTGTGTTCATTCTTTTATTAATTATTTTCAATATTTTGGCTATTTCAAGAGCCTTAAATTCCTGATTTTTATACAAACACTTTGAGCTTGTGTTTCTAGTTACATACTCTCATATTCATAAGTTTGAATTGTATTTTTGAGAGAGTATACTTTCCTTCTACACCGGCTAAGTTTTGTTCTTCATTTTTATATTCTAGCCGTTGTGTAGAATCCTCTTTTGTGTTTTTCAAACACTTCTTTATACGATCTAGAATAGCCGTTAAATTCTCATATTGTATCGGTCAAGGATAGCCGTATAAATCCTTGTGTAAAGGTTCAAGGATAGCCTTGGAAATCCTTGGGGGAACGGTAGAAGATAGCCGTTAAATCCTTGGCAAGGGTTGTTTGCCAAAACTAGTCCCGTGCTTTGACGGAGTTCAAGAGGCCGAGACTTAGTGGATTCGGAAATCCTTGAGGAGGAGCCTCGAGGTACTGGAGTAGGGGTTTCTCGAACCAGTATAAAATCGGTGTGCATTTTATTTACGCTTTTATTTCTGCGTTTTATATATTGCTTCCGCATTTGGCAACACCGTTTTTATTAAACTCCGAAAAGATTTTAAAACGCCTTATTCACCCCCCCCCTCTAAGGCGTGGACACAACGACTAAACCAACTAACAAATGGTATCGGAGCGGTTTCGTAGTTGAAAGTGCTTAACCGCATCTACGACAAAGATCCACTTGTTGTGTCCTTTTTTAATTTGAATTTTTAAAATCTCAAAACTTAATTTTTCCCTAATTTTTTAAAAATTCAAATTTATTAAGAAATGGCCCAAATGGATTCCCAAAGCATCCACCGCCCTCCATTTTTTAATGCTCAAAACTATTCTTATTGGAAAATGCGGATGGAATACTTCATTCAATCAATTGATTTTGATTTATGGTTGAATGTACTTCACGGGCCATTTGTGCCGAGTATTGGTAATCTTGCAGGATTATCTCCGGAGGATAAAAGAAAGTTATCAATGAATGCAAAGGCAATTAACATCCTCCATTGCTCCCTCGGTCCCGATGAATTTGCAAGAGTGAGTACGTGCAAAACTGCCAAAGAAGTATGGGATCTATTAGAAGCCACTCACGAAGGGGATGTCTCGACAAAGCAAACAATGATTGCCCTTGGGAACGCCGAATACGAATCCTTCAAGAAAGGACCATGTGAGACAATCCAAGATATGAACAAGAGGTTCAATGAGATTGTCCACAAATTGAGTAAGTTGGGTAAGACGTATACTACTTCCGAGCTTAATACGAAAATTCTATTTTCTTTACCTAAAGAATGGCATAGTAGTATAGTGGATTTATTACCCAAATGTGATAAGGCCGAAACCGCCCACATTTGGTCTTCCTTATATTCTCATGAGCTTTTGTTGAGAAAGATCAAAGAGGAAGAAATGCATGAAAATCCCAAGCTTACCAACGCCTTCAAAGCTTCAAAAGACTCGTCTAGTGAACAGTCAAGTAAATCAAGTGATGATTCAAGTGACTCAAGCTCTACGGAAGAGTCGGATGATGAAGAAGACGAAGAGAAGGAAATGAGAAAGAAGTATACGGATTTCCTCAAATGGAAGAAGTATGTGAAGAGGAAAGAAACGTATAAAAAGCCAAAGAAAGAGCGGAATAAGCCAAGGTAAATTCTTATCACTTATTGGGATAAGATATTATTTTGTTTGGTTTTAATTATTTTTCAAAAATAAAACCTTATCCCATATGTGCTTTTATTTGTTTTAGCCTTGGTTTGCATGATTAAATATTTTTTAAATTCATCTTTAAATCATGCTTTTTGGAAAATGATCCCTAAAAATCCCTGAAAAATAAAGTTTTTAAACTTGCATCATTTTAGGGGGAGTTTTTATCTTTATGAGGAGTTTTGTTGTAAATGCACCTTTTGCCCAATGATTTCCAAACTATCATTTCTTAATTTATTTTGATAGGGGGAGGGTTTCAAGAAGTTATACATGGTTAAAATTTTCAAAATGCCCTTTTTGATTTTGACAAAAGGGGGAGAAGATGTATACTTCAAAGTGGTGCATAGGCAACTTGATTTGAGTGCATTCTTGTGTAACTAATTGCATCTAACTTAAACTTTCATAAACACAAGAAAAAGTTCAAAGTGAGTATTTTCAATATGCATATTCTTAGGGGGGAGCTTGCTTGCTTCATTATTTTACTCCCGTCTAACTCACTTTGAAGTATATTGTTTGTCAACATCAAAAAGGGGGAGATTGTTAGCCTTGGTTTGCTAAGCCTCATGTTTTGATGTTAACAAACAATATAAGAGCTTGACGTTTGTTTAAGTGTTTCAGGTACAACAAGAATCCATTAAGATTCGGTTCTCAAGAATGAAGTCGAAACACTAAACTAGCGCAGAATTTAGGTAGAAACCGATGTAAGGATATGATTTTATATACCAATATTCAAAAGCTCAAAAACACTCACAAAATATGTTTAAAACCCTTTTATAATCATTTTCAAACATTTAAAAGGTTTTAAACAAAATTGGAAATGATTTGGACAAAAATGAAAAAATTGTCAAAATGGTGATAAGGTACCTAGGTACCGTGAGGGGTACCGTAAGGGGTACTGTGAGTTAATCTGATACGGACCCCCCTACCGTATGGACGGGACCCCCCTACCATGTATAGGTACCGTGTATAGGTACCGCCAGAGAGTTTTGGCCTGAGAACAAAACCTAGCTACCGTACGGGACCTAGCTACCGTGACAGGGTACCGTTACCGTTGGAACACTATTCCTGATTGCTGATTTTTGAATTAATTCAACTCTAATCACCTCCTAACGGCTAATTAACATCTTCCACTATAAATATAGGCCTAATACTTCATATTTTAACAAGAAACAAAGCTCTAAACATCCTCCCTTTATATTCTAAGTGTGTTCATTCTTTTATTAATTATTTTCAATATTTTGGCTATTTCAAGAGCCTTAAATTCCTGATTTTTATACAAACACTTTGAGCTTGTGTTTCTAGTTACATACTCTCATATTCATAAGTTTGAATTGTATTTTTGAGAGAGTATACTTTCCTTCTACACCGGCTCAGTTTTGTTCTTCATTTTTATATTCTAGCCGTTGTGTAGAATCCTCTTTTGTGTTTTTCAAACACTTCTTTATACGGTCGAGAATAGCCGTTAAATTCTCATATTGTATCGGTCAAGGATAGCCGTATAAATCCTTGGGTAAAGGTTCAAGATAGCCTTGGAAATCCTTGGGGGAACGGTAGAAGATAGCTGTTAAATCTTCATTGTAAACGGTTCGAGATAGCCGTTGTGAAATCTCGGAGTGAATCTTATTGGCAAGGGTTGTTTGCCAAAACTAGTGCCGTGCTTTGACGGAGTTCAAGAGGCCGAGACTTAGTGGATTCGGAAATCCTTGAGGAGGAGCCTCGAGGTACTGGAGTAGGGGTTTCCCGAACCAGTATAAAATCGATGTGCATTTTATTTACGCTTTTATTTCTGCGTTTTATATATTGCTTCCGCATTTGCCAACACTGTTTTTATTAAACTCCGAAAAGATTTTAAAACACCTTATTCACCCCCCCTCTAAGGCGTGGGCACAACGACTAAACCAACTAACACTACTTTAAAGATTTCTAAAATCTATTAAATTAATTTGGAAGAGAGATTAAGGTATTGATTTTGTTTGAATTGACATATTGAAAAAAAAGAGTTTAAGTTACCAAGAAAAATAATCATTTTGGAAGTGTAAAGCATGCAACCTCTTCCCTAGAAAGGTGCTCACGTGTTTCAAGAAATTTTTGCAATTTAAATGGAGTACTTTTCGGCCCAGGGACAGCAGCTCAAGAAATTTTGCAGGAGTAGTTTTTGGCCCAGGGACAGCAGCCCAATATCTGAGAACCGGCCCATTATTTTATGGCGGGAACACTGTAGAAATCCTCCTCATACCATTGTATAGATAGAGATTGGAATCAACGCTTTCCGAAATTTTTATTAAAATTGGAATCAACGATTTGAAATTGGAAATTGGAAATAATTAAAAAAGGTAATATCCAAAAATCCAAATAACCAAAAATCCAAAAAATGTACAAAAATGTTATTATTACGTTATTAAAATTGGAAATGGAAATAATTAAAAAGGTAATAATTAACTAACCTATTGATTGTAAAACCGTGTGGCTATCTAATATAAAAACGTGTGTATGGTTATAGTATAATATAATTATGGTAAGAATAATTATACACCCAGTTTCGGAAAAAAATAATTATGGTAAGAATAATTATATACCCAGTTTCGAAAAAATTTAACCTTTCTTATTACCGCATATATGTGTCTTTTTGAGTATACATCAAAAACTCAACACAACTTAAATACCAAACTTTCGGAGGAAAAACAATTGTCTTTGGTGGAGATTTTCGTCAAATATTTCCTGTTATTCCAAAAGGAACAAGACAGAACATTGTTAACTCAACGATTAATTCTTCATACATTTGGGAAGACTGCACAGTGTTGCGTTTGACTAAAAACATGCGACTGCAATCAATGATTCATGATAGTAGTTATGATCAATTATTTGAATTCAGCAATTGGATTGCGAGTATTGGCGACGGGAACGCAGGTGATGAACAAGACGGTTATGCTGAGGTGATAATTCCTGATGACATGTTACTTCCATCTTCTGAAGATCCAATAGCTACTATAGTGGATTCGACATATCCAGACTTTCAAAAAATAGCCAATGAACTAAGCTACTTGTAGGAGCGCACAATTTTGGCTCCTACATTAGATGTTGACAATTCCATAAATGAATATATGACAGCGATGAATCCAAGCAGCGAGTCTCGAACATACCTTAGTTCTGACAAAGTTGAGAACTCGGATTGCAGTTCAAGTTTTTTCGATGACTTACACTCTCCCGAATTCTTAAATAAGATTCGTGTTTCTGGTGTACCGAATCATGAGTTAACTTTGAAGGTAGACACACCTATTATGTTGTTGAGAAATATTGACCATTCAATGGGTTTATGTAATGGTACACGATTGATAGTAACCCGGTTGGCTAATCACTCAATACAAGGAAAAATATTATCAGGAAGTCACATGGGTGAAGAAGTCGTTATTCTAAGACTATCATTAACACCATCCAATACAAGAATTCCATTCTAGTTTCAAAGAAGACAATTCCATGTGGTTACTTCGTACGCAATGACGATTAACAAGAGCCAAGGACAATCTCTGTAACATGTTGGACTATTGTTACGGAAACCTGTGTTTAGTCATAGACAAATCTATGTTGCAGTTTCAAGAGTAACTAATCGTAGTGGGTTGAAGATTCTGATATGCAATAAAGACAATATTCCCACAAATTGTACAAATAATGTAGTCTATAAAGAAGTCTTTCGAAATTTGTAAAGAAGCGATGTTTTGTACCTTAAAATAATATAATCTCTATATTCTATTGCATCTCATTTTTTATCATTGAATTTTTTTTTGAATTTAATAACATAAAAATGACCTGTGCAATGCACGGGTGTGATACTAGTTATGGTAGGAGGCCTATTTTGTGGCCAATGTCGGGTGATGATAATTATGGTGATATTAATTAGGGAATTTGGATTGAGATGTGCGGGCCAAATAATATTTCCCATCATGAAGTCCTCCATTTTTTTGAGTTGTGAGAATCATCAACTCAAGAAAGTAAATAATTTTTCCGAGTCCTATCTTCAATCTTCACGTGTTGTATTTTTGACGGGTTGGTATGATCATGATTCACTAGCTAGTCCTTCTTGTCCTTCGCTGGTATTTGAGCATCTTCGAATATATCTTCTAATGTTTTAGTCTTTTCATGTAAAGAGTGCAATATGTATTTATCTAGCCAATTGAGCTGTGCTCAAGTATAAGAAATATCTTGATCACATAGCTCAATATTAGAGCAAATCAAATAACACATATCAATAATAATGATGTTAAATGGAGTGAATCAGTTTCGCAGTCATTCGTTTTGTCAACAAGACCATTGTTAATGTGTATTAATGCATAACGTAATTAGTATCCCCGCGGGTCGATACAAATTGAATCAACTGTTAAATCAGTGTTAGTCTCACTAAATGATGTAAGTAATTATCTCTTCTATGTCTCTCAAAGACGAATCTAAAATGCCTCGTTTAGAGAGCTTAAATGAATCGGGTGTCCTCGATAAGAGGTGGCGGCGACAGGAGATTTTATCGTCGAAGGTGGCGACAAATATAAGCCGCCTAGGCAAATTTCTTTCAACAAAGGCAACTTCTATTTACTGGATCTAAGTTCTTGGCTGACGTTGCTGCGTGGAAGAAGTCCTCTAGTGACACCAGGAAACACGCCTCAACAGTGCAGATGATTTTGACCTTTCCTTTTGATAGAGAGAGAGAGAGATGATTTTTGGTAAATGGATCTCTTCTGTGGTTGATTTTTCTTTGAAATTCAAGATTCTCTCTAGGCTTCTTGGATATTTTAGGAGAAATATTCCAAAAGATCACTTTTTTGAGAATATACTTCCAAAGGTTGTAGTGGGATCTTCATGGACTTTGCATGGCTCGAGAACCGATCTTTGAATTGCCGAACTTAATTGATCCCACGGTCGGTGCCAAATGGTGGTGTTAATTATTTCAACTGGTTTTATCATTTTACTGGGTCAAAATGATAAACAAGCCTAAACATCACAAAAAATATAAACAAGCTATTTTTTATGAGGAAACCCAAATCGAGAGAAAATCATGGGTCTTTTCTGGGGGTACCATGCCAACGAGAAGATTTTATTAATATCGAGGATATGTACATTGTACATAATATTGACTTTGTATTCATTAATATAGCTTTTTAGCTCTATAAAGAATAAATAATACAAAGAGTATCATCTAAGTAATGTGAGAGAGTATAATTACATTGTAGTGTAGGAAAAAATATGGAAATTGACCCCCATACTAAAGGTGAAGGATTCCTTTTATAGTGAGAGATGAGGGAGTAGTTATAGAGATAAATATGGTAGGGAATGAATGGTGGGAGTAACTATGGTAGGGAGTGATGGGTGGAGGTAGTTATGGTAATGAGTGAATGGTGGATGTAGTTAAGAAAAGTGAGTTGACTATGAGAATAGTTATGGTAGGAGGAGTAATTTGTGGCCAGTGTTTGGTGATGATAATTATGGTAATATTAATCGGGAAATTCGGACCGAGATGTGCGGGCCAAATAATAATTCCCATCAAATAGCATATGTTTGATATCAAATGATCTGATATGAATTAATACTAAATATTTAAATTGAATATTATGTGCATGGTATCAAATGATTTGATTATGAATTGAGATTCAATTTATATGGATGCTCGATGCATTAGATATCCTTATCCAGCTTCACCGCTGAGCGTGTAGCATGTTTTATTTGTTATACGCAGGTAAACAGAAAGAATGATGTGACGTGATCTTGGCGACAAACGGGGTGGCGAGATTGTTGGGATGTATGTGATGGTTTTGAATTGTTATTTCAAAAGACATGAATTAATATATTTTGTGATTGTGTTTTGTTAAGCTTCCGCAACATTGAAAATTCTGTATTGTGTTTGTTATGAGTATTATTTTGTGTTGAATAAAAGTGTTGAAATGTTTTAAACTTTACGATTATCCAGTTAATACTTTTATCCAAAAGAGAATGCAGATCTGGACGAATTAAGGTGTTACAAAAACTCTCAATCATACTTTAAAAAATTTACTAAATTAAACCATGCATTTATCCACACCCAAAAAAAAAGTGAACCGTTGGCAGGTTTTGAGCCGGGTTGGGACTATTTTTTTTAATACCGCCGGTCCAGGTTACCATTAGTCTTCGAGTTAGACGGGACGGACTCCAAATGTATCTCCACTTATTGAATTAAACTGCCCTTTTCGATTCCGCCAGAGTTTTCCTTCGTTGAGTTCTAGCAGGAAAGCGCTCACCGGAGGGGAACAAACTAAGCTTCCGACCTAGCCTTCTCACTGCCGGAATTCTGAGCTTCTCGAACATCTTCCCTCAAAGCGGCGTATTTTGCTCCACATGCGCACCAGCGGAGAACTTCAGTGACGAGATTTCCTCCTCTCGGTACACATCATTAAACTATATCGACGATTTTCCGTGTTTTATGAGTTTAATCAAGAAGAATCCCATATTTGAGTTCGAGTTGCTCTTTTTTTGTCTCAATCTTATAAATGATTCCAAAAATTTAGGAGTAGATGTTTTTAACTCGAGCAATTCTTGTAGAACCGTGGTTAGTGTAGGCTTTTGTTTCAGTTAGGGTTAGAGATAGGTAGAAGAATGAAGGCCAGATCGCATGGCCTGCCGATGCCTAATCAGCAGGATGACTGGGGTGATGGTTCGTGGACTGTGGACTGTGTGTGTGGGGTGAATTTTGACGATGGAGAAGAGATGGTGGATTGCGATGACTGTGGGGTGTGGGTCCATACACGGTGTGTTCGATACGTCAAGAGCGAGAAGGTGTTTGCTTGTGATAAGTGTAAGAATAAGAACACTAAAAATGATAGCGAGGAGACTGAGGTTGCTCAGCTCCTCGTCGAATTGCCAACTAAGACACTGAATATGGATAATCCCATTACTTCAAGCCTGCCTTCACAAAGGCCGTTTAGGCTCTGGACTGAGTTGCCCATGGAGGACAGGGTTCATGTGCAAGGGGTTCCGGGAGGGGATCCAGCTTTATTTGCTGCTGGGGTCTCATCTATTTTTAATCCCCAGCTGTGGAAATGTACTGGTTATGTCCCCAAGAAGTTAAATTTTCAGTATAGGGAGTTCTCTTGTTGGGACACTGAAAGTGATGTTGGAGATGACAAGCGAGGTGTTGAAAACAATGGAACTACTGCAGATAATAATGGTGCTGATGTTCTGTTCTCCTTATCAAAGGAAAGCAACTTTCTGCCACCTATGACTAACTCAACCATGGTAAAAAGTAATACCAATAATGGTAAGTGCAATGTATCACTATCTTCCAAACATACAAAGAGGTTGGATGGTCTCAAGTTGAATACAAACATGAAGAAAGCTTTGAATTCACCGCATAGCATCGTGATACACTCTGGAAAGCGTAAGCAAGATGGATTCAAGATCGAAAAGGAACAAGTGCGAAAGAAGAAAAAGAAGGGCCAGATGACTGACAAAGGAGACTTCAAGAAAAAAAGCCCGTCTATCAAGAAAGGTGATATTTTAAAATTCAACATTTTAGGTTGTCTAATATTTATTTATTTTGAAGCCATTGCATATACCTGTATGTTGTAATTGTCTTGACATCTTAATATAGCTTGTCATTTGCAGTGATTCCATTTTTGTTGTTTGGGAACCTGTTTTACTTTAAATTATATTTTTACTTTGAGTATTCTTTTTATCTTAGCTTGCAAATTATTAAATGGAGAGAAGGAAAGGAAATTTAATGAAGATAGAGGCTCTAAAGTTGTCAATGCGGATTCTAACAGAACAAAAAGTGGAAGTCGGGAAGGGGCTGTACTCACTGATCACTTGGCAGAAGATTCTCAAAGATTGGATAGTGGGTATAGTAATTATAGAAACACTTCAAATTCAAGCGAGCACCATTCAAAAGTAATTCCATCCAACGTGTTAAAAGAAAATTCTTCAAGTGAAACACTTCCCCCAGAACAGAGTGAAAATCAAGCTGCTTCAAAGATTCATAGCTCACAGTGGGAAAAAGACAAAGATGGAATGGCAGCTGTTCCAATAAAACAGGAGGTATGATGTAAGATTATTCATGATGTGCATTTATATGGCTATGTTGAGTGTAGCTACCTTTCCAGATGTTTTTTTTATTACTATTAGCTGCAGCACGAATCATTCTTATATTTTTGAAGCTCACTGTTGCTTTCCCGACATTCTTTTGGCTTAACATAGTTCTATCATCGTTAGGGTGTTGCTTTTCCTGGAGAGGCTTTAACTATTAGTGCCAAGGTTGAATTGCAGAAGTCAGAGTCTGTTACTAAAGCCCGTGTAAGTGATGATCTTGAAGTAAAGGGTCTTCAAATTTCTCGCAATTTGACTGGTGACAGCTTGACTTGCTCTTCAGTGCCTGAAACTGAAGTGAAAGTTGATGATGGTTGTGGAGACTTTGATATCCATTGTTCATCTGCATGTGATTCAACATTGGAAAGAACAAGATCATTGCCACATCATGCAGACACATCTAATGTTCTATTGGGTGAAAGTGCTAACAGAAAAAATGATGTTCCTGTTGTTAACTCTAAAGGTAGATGCCATAAAGCGCAGAGGGTTGACAGTAATAGCTCAATTCTTGGATGTAAAAAAATGACAAATGCTGATGGGTTATCTCATGATCTTTGTAATTCTAATCAAGAAACGACATTATCTGAAGATGCCGAGAGAGCACAGAATAGTGCATTGGGGCTTAAATGTGGTAGTACACAACGTGCTGGAGATGCAGCTACTAAAACCAGTGCAACAACTCTTATAGGGACTGCTCCATGTCAGCGCAAGGTTAGAGTCACTATAGGGAAATCTGCTGCGACCTCATCAACATTAGTTCTCAGACCCTCTCCTGCAGAGAGCTGCATTTATTCCACTGGTGTAAAGAGGGGAATGTCTGACAATAATCTTAGTAGCAAAGGGGAGGCTATCTCATCTAATGCTGTTATGGAAGAAGAGGGGAATGAAAAATCAAAGAAGATGGTAGGAGAGCTACCAAAGTCTTCTGTTAGTTCTGCCTCAAAAGCCCAAATGACCAAGATCACATATGTTTCATCTTCTAAGAGAGAGACCTTGTCTGATTCGAAGGAGTCCATGCCCCATTCATCTCCTAGGAGCATTTCAGTGAGAAACTTACCTTCAAATTCAGGCTCTGGTGAGTCTTCTAGTTCGTTGCAAAGTGAAGGGGCATCAAGTTTACCGAATAAACCCACGTGCACAAATTTACTCCAAAGGGGTGAAAAGGTGAAGCCACCAGGAAGCCTGTCTTCATTAAAAGCGAATGCAACTCTGATGCATCCTCCAACATTGTCATCCTCCCCTGCTGCACTGAGCGATGAAGAGGTAGGAAAAACTAACTGATATTCTCACTGCAAAATAAATCAATTACAGGCTTTAAACTTTATTTTTTCATAAGCAGCTTGCTTTACTCTTGCATCAACAACTAAATAGCTCTTCTAGAGTCCCTCGGGTCCCACGTATGCGTCATGCTGGTAGTTTACCTACTTTAACTTCCCCGACAGCTACAAGCATTTTAGTGAAGCGAGCATCTAGTGGAGGAAAAGACCATGGGTTGGTAAGCTGCTACAGATGTTCTTGAACACTTCCTTATTTGGCACTCTTGCACTTATGTATCTAATTTACCTTGCCTTTTTTTCACATTACAGTCATCTAGAAAAAGAAAGGAGTCGGCTAAAGATGGTTCCATCAGTGCTCTGGAGGGGGCTGCTGAATCTTATAAGAAACGAAATGGATTAACTTCTGATAATAAAAGAGAAGATACTCATGTCAAGCGAGAAGCAGACAATTCTTCTATAAAAAGTGTAATCTCTTTGAAGACTAGCCCTTCTTCATCTACTGCAGGTGGTAGTAATTGTGTTCCTTCTTCCCATGAAGTTAAAGAACCAAAATTGTCTTCTTCAAAGAACTCGCAGAGAAATACTGTTGGTAATGATGCTAGAGTGTCTGAGCACCCAGCTCGTACTTTACCAGGTTTCTTCATTTAGGAAAGTCAAATCTCTGAAATTTTTTTAACTAAGGGTTCCTGATCAATCACAACTTTTTTCTATGAATTTTTTTGGGAACATCATAGGCTTGATAGCTGAGATTATGAGCAAAGGTGAACGCATGACATATGAAGAACTTTGCAATGCTGTTCTGCCGGTATGGTTTCTTTAGGAATATACTCCCTCCATCTTAAAGTAAACATTAAACATTCCTTGTTTGTCCGTCTCAAAATAAATGTTATACTTCACCAATTTCATTTTTAGGAAATGAATATGTGCCTTAAATAATTTCTCTTCCAAACAAATTTCAACTATCTACTTTTTACTTTTCAACATTTTTCTTAAACATTGTGAAATCAATGTGCCATGTTCATTTTGAGACCATAGGGAGTAATATTTGTTCCTCATTCAATTTGTATTTGTTAATATTGTATTCATGACACGTAATGGTGCTCGTTAACATCTCCTTCATCTTTTGTTTTATGCAGCACTGGCCTCACTTGAGGAAACACAATGGAGAGCGTTATGCCTACTCAAGTCATTCTCAGGCTGTCCTTGATTGTCTTCGAAATCGAAGCGAATGGGCACGCCTTGTTGATCGTGGTCCTAAGGGTGGTCCCAGGGTTTGTTTTTCGAAATTTCAGCCAATTTATAACACAATAGGAAAGACAGAATAAAAACGGATGGGTGAATAATTAATTGTGTTTTTTTACAGTTGACGGCAGGCCGAAAGAGGCGCAGAATTGATGATTCTCAGAGTAATGAGTTGGACGATGAGAACGGAGACGGAAGTGGCGGGGGCAGGGACAAAGATGAGGGAAACAGCAAGTCATTGGATCAAGAAGAGTTACCCAAGGGTAGGCGGAAAACTAGGAAGCGACGACATCTTACCCCAGGGGGAAGAGGAAAGAAGGATGGTGTTAGGAGAAGACACCATCGCACTGGGGTGATCAGTGACGATGACGATGAACCTGCCTCATTTTCTAGCTGTAGCGACGATGACACCATGTTTTGCGAAGAAGACGATGATGAGGATGATGACGATGTTGATCATGGTATGGAAGGCGCTACGGCCTCTCCTAAAACAAATGTAACGTCTCCTAGTTCAGCTCCCTGAACTCACGCCATGACCTACTCTCTATTTCTTGGCTGTTTTTTTAGGGTTTAGGTCCGGTGGGCGGTGTAAACATATTCCTGTGCTTGTATATCATGTAGCAATATCATTTTTATTTTCTGTTACTCTGTTTGAAAATATTGTATAACGCATCATTTTATATAACGAAAATGTAACGCATTATGGACTTCTACTCTTCTACGGAGTATCATATATATAAATGCACAATGCAAAATTGGATCCCGATTCGAGGATTTCGAGCAAGGTTATTTTGAAACCATTTTCACCTTTTAGAAAATTAGACTGCTGTTAAAAAAAAAGGTTCACAGTATAAAAGGTGTTTGATTGCATTAAAGTATTCTGCGTATTCAGATGGTTCGTACAACACTTTTTTATTTTCCATGTTTGGCTGGAATTATTTTCAAATTATTTTATATGAAAAACAATTTAAAATTAAAAAATAAAAATTACATATTTAAAAATTACATCAAAAGATTTGTGAAACTAGTAGTGACATGATTATATTATTTAATCAAAAAGAAAGTGAATGAATTTTGATCATGTGAATAATAAATACACAATTTAATTTAAGACGGAAGGAGTATAAGAGATTCTATTCACGTTAAAATTTACTCTATCAAGTATCAACAACAATGTAAATAACATGGGCCAAATTTCACAAGAGTTATGGCTAGGGATAAACAAGAATCTTGATCCCGTTGTCACAACTTGAAATATCTCGATTGTGTTCTTATAATGTTTCTTTTTTTTGGAATAAAAAGATTATCTTGAACCCGTTCCAAACTATTTTAAAATGGGACGAGATTTGGACACATAAATATTTTACAGTCTCGTCTCGTTGTTCCGTATGTATGTATATATATCTATTTATTTATTTACATATTATTATAACACAAAAAATATCACAATTTTTTTCCAAAGATAGATAAAAATAAATATTCAGATTCAAATATTTTAGAAAATAGACTAGGACCGGAATACCTAAAAACCCGGACCATTCTTACCCTTCCCACAATCCCACCCCAATTTGTGACTCATAGTTTTTATAAAGCTTATAGTTTTAACTTTTGATGGATGATGTAGCATTTTCTAATGTTGCCTTATTGTTTTTGGCTTTTTCTAAGATATTCTAAATATGTATTTCATTTTTTTCTTTAGTTTGCAAGTTAAACTGGGTTGCCTCCCCCTTATGTATTTTATATTTTTATATCTAATCTCCCCTTTTCCCCTTTGTCTGGATCTCAAATATTAAGGGACAAAGAAAAATAAGTTTGTGGTCACTAACGAATCTATGCCTGGTATATCGGGGCACCCGCCCGCAATCAATTTTTTTAAGTGTTAAATATGTTTTCAATCCCCGTAAAATAAACAATTTTTTTTTTATCTCTGTAAAAAATTATTTTATTAGGTCATCCTTACAATTTTTTTCAAAATGGTCCATAAACATAACATACAGTTCTATTTGTTGAGATAACCCATTTATTTCATACTCCTCTTTCCCAGTGTATTTGTCGAGTTTGACTTTTTCGAGTCAAACGAGATGAACTTTGAGTTTTAATTATTCTCAAACCCTAATGTATTTTAGTATAAAAATAATTTAATTAGATTTATCTTATTAAAAATTTTCAAGATTATATTTTATTATACTAATACGCAATACAAATTGAGAGTAATTCAAGCTTAAAATTTGTTTAGTTTGACTCGAACAAGTCAAACCGGACAAATATACTCGGACGGATGGAGCACTCAACATCTTAATCTTACATTTCTAATTACCAAAGAGACATATCTCATGCGATGGATACTCTTCTTCATCGAATTACAATCTCAATTTCTAAATTTTATTATACTATATTCCTAAAATATTTAGGAACTAGAGATGTAATATGAATAAAGATACAACTCAGGGCATGAGAATTATATTGGAGGTAGTATAAATGCAAGACTAAGATGTTTAATACGAAATAAATGTTTTATCTCAACAAATTAGAAGCACAAATTATATTTATGGACCACAGGAGGGCACATGGCATCTGCAACAGTAACCACCACAGCCTCGTCCGTGGTAGTTTCATCGTCCAGAATTAGTAAAAAGAGTATTATGAACCACAGAAAAGAAATATATATATATATAGACACACACACACACACCAAAGAAAATATTGAAATCATCCCAAAGACATAACATGATGATCGAAGGTGTTAAGATGGTTAAAGAAAGTATTTTAGAGACTTGAAACAATAAAAATAGGATTCGCAATCACAGACGGTCAAGGCGAATGGTCGATTGTCGTGTAGAACTTCATAGGCGTATCGTTACTGTTAGACAAATGGTTGACTTTCATTGACCAACGGTCAACCATCACGGTCCCAACCAAATAAGGAAATCTTCAGGTGCAGCATCACGGTCAACCGCTGGAAGGAAACGGTCGACCATCACGGTGACAGATACGGAATCCGAAAAGCTGAGCAGAATGGTCGACCTCCGTACCTAACGGTCAACCGTTCCGAACCTCGTAACATAATAAATTAAAATTTGTGCCACATATGATACATCAAAATGACACTTTTTTGATGTTTTAATCTAGTAAATCTATGCGTGTTTATATATTCAAATTGTTTACAACGTGTTCATAGTATTCTGCTTCATTTAATCATTAATACTAAAAACATAACACATCATATACATGCGTAAGAGATCATTGCCTCGTGCGTCTCATATAGCAAGATTGTGGGGGACTTAGCAATACGACATCACAAGTTTAGACTTAGTGTACGTACATGGTATTCGGATTTTCAAGTACAACCCTCATCTAATTTCTAGTTTAATTCATGGGACTAAGGTGGCATGAGTTTATTGTATCAAATGAGCGATTCTCATAGCGCAAGGGTTGTCCTTGAACAGTTAGTTTCATACAGAATGAAATCATCATAAAAAATAATCACATTGATTGTATGTGTCATTAGGTATTTGTCATCATGAATCATCATCTTGATCTATGTGCTATAGTATGCCATATCATGAATAATCATATGTCTACTTGCTATTCAACTTGGAATGATTGTATTAGAGTACTCCTCAGCTTACGTTGAGTGTGTAGTTTGTTTTTACTTGCTACACGCAAGCAGGAACGGAGAACATGGAGCCCATCCCAGAGGTAAACGAGAGTCAGGAGATGTACGATGTACGAACTGATGGACTTTTATTATGCATTATTCAAATAAATTACCTTTTCGAGCGAGTACCTAAAAAGTATAACATGAATTTGTTTATGTTTATTTTAAAGCTTTCGCTAGACATAATGTGCACACTGAAGCGTCGAGCTAGGCACCACCACAACAACAACAACCTCAGCCAAAACCCCAACAAATTCGAGAGCAACATGCGAGACAAAACCCGAAAATGGCCATTCCCATGTTTTAACTACAGATAGTTGCAAACATGGTTCACTTCGTCCAGCAAGTGGCTGGAGCATATGTACCTCCACCACCGCCTCATATGCCCATCATAGATGGGTTTCACCATTACCTTACACTTTTCAGGTTGTAGTGCAAATTAAGCCAGTTTCCTTGAGATGCTTTTGGCAAGGTGAGTACTACCCTAGTGGGTTTCACCATTACCTTACACTTTTCAGGAACTATCTCCTTGTTCAACTTTGGTAAAGAGAAACGGTGGTTCTTTCCATGCACGCCATGGAATTTAACATCAACAAACATTTGTTTGAAGTCTATCTCCATTTTCTCGTGATCAACTCCTTCCAAGGAGAGATAAATCTAGAAACACAATTGAAATTATCACACAGTTAACTTTGTGTTAATACTTATAAACTTTAGCCGAAAATTGCATTGTCAAAATCAAATTATTTTTCAAAGCTCTCCGAGTTGTCTATTAATAAGGCCTTTCCAACTAAAATATGCTAGGAAACAGGGGAAATGCTAAGAGCAGCTATTACTTATGCTATGCCTGACCCTGAAAAATAAAGATAGATGAAATATGCTTTACTATGTTTTATGTCCTGTACATATTTAGATTTCAGTCTTGAAACTAAGTATATACTGAGTACGAATAAATGTAAAAAATAAACTTTTACAAAGATGTTCGTCATACATATCTTTTATAGCACTTGCAGAAAATATCAAAAAAACATGAAACAAAAAAATATATCTTTTGTTGTTCCCTGAAGTTCTATCCATCCAACAAAATGAATGTGTTGTCTAGACACAAAAGATAACCACCTAAAACAAAAACTCTGGTTATAATGAATGTTGTAGTATATAACTTAGTATAGAGAATCAAGACGCCTTTAATCAATCTCCTACCTTCACTTTGTCACTGTCCTGATCCCAGCTAAATGTTGCAAGTGTTACATAGCTTAGTGCTGGGTTAGGGACAGCTTTTGGTGCAGTTGAAATTGGGGTCGGCACCTAAGGAACTGAGCTCGCCTCATTTGAAAGCTGCTTCAGCAAATTAAAGGACATTCTGTTTAGACAACAATATATTTTAAACCATAAAATTTCATTTGTACTTGCCGACCAAGCCCACATGAAGCTAGCCATGGCCGTGACTTTCAGCCAGGGAAATCTCCTTAGCGTCCTTCCGATCGCAATCAAGGAAATAGATAATAGAAAATCGGAATCCACCAAATTACCAATTGAATATTGGAAACAAACCTGATTATAGAATTGACGCGAAGAATCAGCGGATTTTGACTATCCTTTGTTGTAGCTGCAGATTTCTTTTCCTTTGGCGAAGATTATCGCGAAGAATCAGCGGATTTTTGGTGAAGAAGATTAGGCCGATGAAGAAATCAGCGCATAGAGAGGGGAAAGAATCGGACTCTCGGAAGATGCGATTTTGTCGTAGAAGAGGACGCGTGTAACGTTACGTGTAATGAAATCAGAATACTTAAATTGCCACATGTCAAGTTTCTACACCTCAAACTCTTAAGTTTTATATCAAAGGATTAACTCCATTTTCTATAAAATTAAATTGAAAATAAATTTGATCTAGCATTAAAGGAGTGGTAATGGGCATGACGCCCAGCCACGTTAAGCTCATTTTGACATCTGGGGGCGTTAAACACTGCTCCTCTTCCCCGTTTTGGCCCCGTCAAAATTTTTGCGTCAAACTTTTGACGCGGTTTGAAGGCGTTCAAACGCCTTCTTCCCTCTTTTTTCTCCTCCTTTTTTCCTCTTTTCTTCTCTATAAGCCGTTGAATCCATATTTTTTAAAATTCAACACAAATACAAATCTCTCTCTATCTATCATCTTTCTTTAAAAATTTATTCTTGAAGTATTTTATTTATTTTTTCATGAATGTAATTTTTTTATTCAATGAATGTAATTTTTTATTTAATGAATGAAATTTTTATAATGAATGTAATTTTTGTATTTAATGAATGTAATTTTTTATAATGAATGTAACTTTTTTAATGAACAATTCTCATTTCAATTCTTTTAAATAATTATATTTTATTAATTTAATTTTAGAAGATGTGTATTTAAAATGTAAAAAATGAAGATTTGAAACCTCAGTTTGAAGTCTGGAGACTTCATACTCATTTCCACAGAAATTATGAGTTAAGTTAAAGCTGATGTGCTCGAGAGAAGGTTTGAAGTCCCGATTTAAAGTCCTAAGGCTTTATTTTTCAGGGGTGGGGTTCCCATGACATTAGAATATTCCAATATTAGAATATTCCAATGTCATAGGATGACCCGGGGGCGCTCCAGTGCCCCGTTCGTAAAATTGACGGTTCCTACCTCCTTAACCCCCCGGTAAACCCCCCACTTTGCCCCGACCCGAACACACCCCCTACCCCCGTCAATTGCACCCGACAAGTTGATTTTGACTTTGGAGATAAAATTTGACTCCAAAGTCAAAATCAACTTGTGGGGTGCAATTGACGGGGGTAGGGGGTGTGTTCGGTTCGTGGGGGGTTTACCGGGAGGTAGGAACCGTCAATTTTACGAACATGGCACCGGAGCACCCCGGGTCATCCCATGACATTGGATTCCCATGTCATGGGAACCTTGGTGATTTTCCGCTTTTATATTGTTATGCGTGTGGGCACTTCTTTTGGGACGAACTGACGGATCTCACGGATATATATTTATTTTAATATTACAAATATCTCTGCTATTTCATTGTTTCAATGTTACAAATCGATCCTCCCAAAATTATGGTTATGTTTCAATCATTGTACAAAATCTAATCTGTTTACAAATATATTTACGTTGTACAAATTAGTATAAAAACTAAAAAATTAAATTTACATATTTAAAAAATTACTCCATAGATCACAATTTTACAAAATAAATGATGATATCTCTATTTTATTACCAGATAAAAGACTAAAATATGCATAAAGCATCGAGAAATAATCAAAAGAGCTCTTTCCTATTTTGATACGAACGTATCGGGTAGGGGTGACTTCGAGTGTCACCAAACTCCAGAAAAAGGGGAGGCGCAGGGGAGAAGATCGCACGAAGGCGTAGGAGGCAAAAGAGATAGATTAGGGTTTGTATTATTTGATAGATGATTTCCTTCATAGGGTTTGCACCCTATTTATAACAAAACACATACCCTAAAACTATATTATCTAACCTGACGGTTCAAAGAAAATCGACGAGGTAAAGAACCGCAAAGAAACCCTCGAAGGAGCTTATATTTTGCTCGCCTAATAAAATCTACGTTACATAAAATAATATGAATAATAATAAAATAACAGTCATTTCTCATGCAATATAATCATCATGCCAAGTGGGAGGACGCCGAGTACACGCACCCCGTCGTACCGTCACCTCCTTCCCTTCATTAACTATCGCGTGTTCTGAAGTCTCTTTGAAGTCCACGTCCTCTGTACCTTCCCCGTCCACCCGGTCGCTACTCGTATCATCCCTCCCCCGGTTCCAATAGCACCTTGTCCTCAAGGTGAAAATCGGGGTACTTGCGACCTAGGGTCTCCACTGGCTCCCAAGAAGCATCAGCCAAGCCTCCATCAGTCCATTCAACCAAGGCTTGGCGCACCGGCAGCCCATCCATTAAAGTGGTGCGATAACCATGCACACGTACTGGGCGCGAGGGAGCTCTGCCTTCGACCAATTCTGCAGGTAAGGGAAGTGGGTTGGCTTTAGTGGGGTTCCCATGGAATGGCCGAAGCAAGGACACATGAAATAATGGGTGTATCCGAGACCCGGCAGGCAGCTCAAGGTGGTAGGCCACGGTGCCCACACGCTGTAATACCCGGAAAGGCCCATAGAAATGCCGAGCCAACTTCTGATTCGAACGTCTAGCGACGGAATGTTGGCAGTAAGGTTGTAATTTGAGAAGCACCCAGTCGCCCACCTCAAAGTGCACATCGCGTCGGTGAAGATTAGGTGTTGCCCGCATCCGGTTCTGGGCCTCGAGAAGGTGCTCTCGTAGACGCCGTAACAATGTTGTTCGTTCGGTTAATAGGGAATCCACCGCCGGAGTCTCGCACTCCCCAGCCGAGTAGGGCAGGATAGACGGAGGCTCCCGTCCGTATAATGCTTGGAAGGGGGTCCTGTGCAATCTGGAGTGAAAGCTGGTATTCAAGGCAAATTCCGCCCATGGCAAAAAGAGGGTCCAGCGAGTTGGTTTATCCAACACATATGACTGTAAGTATTGCTCCACCCCCCGGTTCATAACTTCCGTCTGGCCATCGGATTGTGGGTGGAAAGCCGTGCTCACATGAAGAGATGTCCCGCTGAGGCGCATAATCGCACGCCAAAATGCGCTCATGAAGATCCGATCCCGGTCAGAAACAATGGTTTTGGGGAAGCCATGCAATTTTACAATAATATCAACAAATAACGTGGCTACCCGCGGTGCGTCAAAGTCGGCTGCGAGCGGGCCCAGATGGATGTATTTTGATAAACGGTCCACAACAACCAAGATGACGGAAAGTCCGCGCGACGGGGGTAACCCGGTTATAAAATCCATGGATATATCGTCCCACACTTGTAACAGAACATGGAGTGGTTGCAAAAGACCCGCCGGTGGTTGTGTTGAATATTTTGTGGCTTGGCAGGTGCTGCACGCCGTGATATACCGCTTTAGATCCTGGCGCATTCCCAGCTAGTAAAAGGCCATAGCTAGGCGATGGAACGTGCACTAGATTCTGGTGTGGCCCGCCATTGGGGCATCATGATACTCACGAAGCAAGATTTCCGGTTTGCCTGATGCCTGGCCGATACACAAGCGCCAACGGAAGAACAATAGCCCATTTGTAACGGAGTAATCTAGAGGGAGCTGCCCCACCTTGGCCAAATCATGGAGCTGTTTTAAGTCGGGCTGTGTACGGTTCTCGGCCCGAATTTCCACCATCAAGGAGGGTAGTGGACTGGAGACTGTCAAGAAACTAGCCAAGGAGGGGGTGGGTTCCTCTCGTCGTGATAGTGCGTCCGCCACCCCATTTGAGACGCCCGACTTATACTCTATGCGGAAACGAAACCCCATAAGCTTTCGCACATAATATTGTTGGTCTGGGGTTTGCACGACTTGATGGAGAAGCTCACGCAGGCTACGCTGGTCCGTCCGGATCAAAAATTCCTTGCCCAATAAATACTGACGCCATTTGTGTACCGTTTCGACGATGGCCAAGAGTTCCTTGTGATAAGTAGAGGCGACCAAGTGTCGAGGCCCCAATTTTTATCTAAAGTAGGCTACGGGCTGACACTGTTGGAGTAACACTGCCCCAATCCCCATAGCATAAGCATCGGTTTCAATGACGAAAAGTTGGTCGAAGTTGGGTAGTTGTAGGACAGGGGCCGTTACCATTACATGTTTTAAGGTTTGAAAAGCTGTCGTAGCCTTCGGAGACCAACGAAAAGAATCCCTTTTGAGTAGATCAGTGAGAGGGGCTGCCAAGTGGGAGTAGTTGCGAACGAACCGTCGATAATACCCGGTAAGGCCCAAAAACCCGCGGAGCTGCCGCACGGTCGTGGGGGTAGGCCACTCCACCATGGCCGAGATCTTGGCCTTATCGGCGTGTAGTTTGCCTGCGGTGATAATATGCCCAAGGTACTCGATGGAGCACTGTCTGAACGAACATTTGGATCGTTTCACATTAAATACCCGTGCCTGTAGTGCCGCGAGAATGGTGCGGAGATGATCGCGGTGAAACTCCAGGGACGAACTATATATGAGAATGTCGTCAAAGAAAACCAAGAAAAATTTTCGTAGGTATGGCGCAAAGAGATAGTTCATGCACGCTTGAAATGTAGAGGGTGCGTTGGTGAGGCCGAAAGGCATGACGAGAAACTCGTAGTGGCCCTCATGAGTTTGGAATGCCGTCTTGTAAATATCCTTATCCTCCATACGTATCTGGTGGTACCCGAAGCGTAGATCCAATTTGGTGAAGTACCGAGCATGTGTCAACTCATCAAATAATTCATCCGCCGTCAGAATAGGGAAATGGTCCAGCACGGTAATGGCATTCAAAGCGCGGTAGTCCACGAAAAAATGAAACAAACCATCCTTTTTCTTCACCAAAAGGACCGGGGAAGAGAATGGGCTGCGGCTAGGCCGAATGAGTCCATTGACTAACATCTCACGTATCAAATGCTCGATTTCCCCTTTTTGATAGTGTGGGTACCTGTACGGCCGAACATTGATAGGAAAACTCCCCGACTATAGAAAAATACGGTGGTCATGGGCCCGGTGGGGCGGCAGTCCGGAGGGGCTTTCAAAGAGGGATTTGTAAGCCTCCAAAACGTCGAACAGTGCAGTGGGAATGGGGGCTCGGCTGACATTTCCGACTCTACCCCTGAACCCTCGTGTGACACTGGCAGTAACTCATAAAAAGAGACCACCTCCTGCGATGACCACAAGGCTTTAAACATGGAGAGAGAAACCGGCCGGGGCATGGTGTCACCCTGTAACTGCACCTGTTTGCCGTCCCAAGTGAAAGCCAAGGTGAGATTAGCATAATCCTGCGTGACTTTCCCTAGCTGTTGTAACCATTGGACGCCCAAAACCAAATCTTGTCCGTGAATCTGCAAAACAAACAAATCAACAGGGAATAGATGTGATTGCAAAAGGAGTGGTACCCCCGAACATTGAGACATGCAAGGTAAGGCATCCCCGTTTCCCACATAAACCCGGTACGGATTGACGGCAATAAGTGGGACTTGCAATCGCGCCACCACCTCGGGGTGAATAAAGTTGTGGGTACTACCCCCGTCGATGAGGATGCGAAGGTCATGAGTCCCCACATGGCCAGTCATTCGCAAAGCTCGCTGTGGTTGTAGTCCCGAGAAGTTATTGAGACTGGAGATGTTGGCGGTGACCACTAAATCATCGGCATGCGCAGAGGTGGGCGACTCGTCCTCATCATCGTCGCCACAGATAAGGAGGAAACGGTCGCATTTGTGACCGCGTGACCACCGTTGATCACAATTATAACATAAACCCTTGGAATCCTTAGCTTCTTTTTCGGCTGGGGTCAGGCGTCGGATATGGCTGGGCAGCGGGTTGGGCTTGGGTTTCGGTAGGGGTGTAAACGGATAATATCCATTTCGGATGTATTATAACCGTATCCGAATCTGATTAGCAAAACCGTTATCCGAATCCGAATCCGTATCCGGCAGATGTCTACTATATTAAATCCGGATCTGAATCCGGCAGATTCGGATTCGGATATATCCGCATCCGACGAAGCATCCGACTAGTAAAAAATCCAAATCTAAATCCGTTTCTAGATTCTGTAAAACATCCGTTTCTAGATTCGGTAAAACCGTATCCGTATCCGGAAAAAAATCCGTCTAAATATCCGAATATGAAATCTGAAAATCTAAAATCAACCAAGCACAACCAAAAACTTTAAATCCTTAACCAAGTTTCTTAATCTACAACAGAAACAGCAAAAAGATTTGACCTTGTAACAAGCAACAAAAATTAGAAAACATGAAATCTAAATTTGTAACCAAAAAGTAAAATCAGTTAAATCACATCATTAATGTTTACATAAATCATCATTCTTGAATTCCATGGAAAGCATCTCTTCAGGATACCCTACAAAAAATTGAAACATTTCATATTAGAAATAAATAAATACTTTATTTGGTCTATGCAATAACATTGATATTACATATTAAAAAAATTGAAATGCTTTAGACGTGATACCAAAAGAAGTTTACCTTTGAGAATTGAAATGCTTTAGACGTGATACCAAAAGAAGTTTACCTTTGAGAATTAACCAAAGAAATATCTCAATTATACAAAGTGATACCAAAAGGAGTTTACCTTAAACGTGATTCATGCCACAACAAGGTCCAATGGATTAGCTTCATTCGTCATCTATTAAAGTAAGAGTTGATACGTAGTATAATTAAAGATGATACTAACCTTCCCCTTCAATACTTGGCAACCAATCTTTCACACAAAGTAAAGCCTCAACTGTGTCAGAGTTAAGTGAGGCACGTGTATCATCAATAACCCTACGAGCTCGACTAAAAGTGGACTCTGAAGGAACCGTGGTACATGGAATTGCTAATATATCACGAGCTATCTTTGAGAGAATCGGGTACTTGCCACCATTATGTTTCCACCAATTCAAAACATCAAATGGATTGTCTTGTTCACACACTAAACCCTCCTCAAGATACAACTCAATCTCTGTTTTTTTCTTAATGGAAGTGGAACTAGACTGGGCAGCAAGCTCTTTGAACCTAATTAAAAGAGGAAACTCAATCTCACTACTTGATAAGTTCTCAATGCGACAAGAAGAATCAGACATGGCAATACCCCCATCATCAGAACGGACCGGATCATCATACTCTACAAACAAAGCATTCCAAAAAGTTTGCACTTTGCATACATAACTGTCTGGATTACCATTATCGCTATCCCCAAAAGCAGCTTTAACAAGTGTCATTTTATATCTAGGATCAAGAATTGAAGCAATCGTCAACACCATACTACATTGATCCCAGTATTTATCAAACTTTGTTTGCATCAAAAGTGCCATTGTTGAAATATCCGGATCAGTACTATCACTCCACTGCTTCAAGCACTCTCTTATCTGACAAACAAAAGTAAAGTAAAGGGGGAAGTTGGATACTTACTCCCTGAAAGTGCTTCTGTTGCATTTTTAAAAATCTTCAAATGCCTGCAAATCTTTGCACCAATTTCCCACTCCTCTTCCGATGGCAAGTATTTGTAACTAGTATCTAATTCAGCCAAACGCTTAAATGCTCCTTTGAGGTCAAGTGCATTCATAAGCATATCATACGTAGAATTCCATCTAGTATCACACTCCAAACTTACCTGTCTCTTTGGGTTAAGTCGTGTCTATACCAATGGAAAAGAAAATTTTTCCTCTCTTTGCACTGACCCATTAACATATTTGACACTATCACGAATCTTTACAATCAATCCATTAATCACATCCAACCCTTTTTTTACAATCAAATTCATGATGTGTGCTGAACAACGAATATGAAACAATTCTCCATTATGAACAAGTGCACCCTTCCCATTTAACCAATCCCTAATGCCATCCAACATTCCAGAGTTTTGTGAGGCATTATCCACAACAGCAGAAAATAACTTCTTATCAATATTCAATTCAAGAATACGATTTTTCAACCATTCACATAAATGCAACCCACTATGCGGATATTCAACAACATGAAAAGCAAGCAATTTACTTTGCAGCTTTTTTATACTCCCTCTGTCCACCATAGATCTTCTCAGTCACTATTCACAGGGAGCCCAAATTGTGAAACCATTATGACGAACGAAACCAATATTAATGGGTCATCATTGCCCTTTGGGAGATGGATCAAAGTAGGAGTAAAAGAGTTGTCATATTCCAAAATAGGAGTAGAAACTTAAACTCCCCTAAATAGGAGTAATTAACTTAACAATGACTCTAATCTTTTTACTCCAAAAACAATGACTCATGCATATCCCAAAACTAAACAATGACTAAATTTCAAAACTCCTTATTCGTACATGTGCTGAATTTTCAATCTCGGAGTTCGGAGCACTGTTCTAAGCCGCCTTATGCATGAATTTTCAAATCCTTTGTTTCCAATTATGACCTTCACTGCCCCTCTTCCATGCAATTTCCCCTTTATTTAATTTTTTTTAAAACTATAAATTTTCATACTCTTTTACACACTCATACACTCAAAGCAGTGAAGTCTCAACCTCCGACAACTCTAGAAATTAGGAAAAATTCAGTAATGTCAAAAATGTAATTTAATTTATTTTAACAACTTATCATTTGCTTAGAAGACTCTAGTGCCTCTTCAATTATTCCATGAAAACATAATGTTGTAACATAATGACCATGTGAACATTGCCCTTGCTTTACCAAGTAGTTCCACAAACTACCGCCCAAATCAATTGTATGATTATTAAAGAAAAACTTTCCATGTTGCCGTTTTGTTGGCAAGAACTCTCATTCAGTCATCTTGATTTATAGTAAATTGTTATTGAATTATTAACTAAACTGAATCAACAAAAAAATAACAAATTTGAATGTGAACAAAATTAATTCAATAATAAAACACACCCTAAACTTCATCAACAAAAATGAATCAATACCTACATATAAGAACTTAGTAAATTTCTAAATTAAAATGTACATACAGTGTCAAAAAAGATCACGTCAAATGTCACATGTAATCATATAATGACAATCATGCCAATGTATAAAGTCATACATGCGAATGCATAATGCTAAAAAAAATAACAAATTTGAACGTAAACAAAATTAATTCAATAACAAAACACACCCAAAACTTCATCAACAAAAAATAAATCAATACATTACTTATAGAAACGTAGTAAATTGCTAAATTAAAATGTCCATACAGTGTAAAAAAAGACCACATTAAATGTCACATGTAATCATATAATGGCAATCATGCCAATGTATAAAGTCATACATGTGAATGTATAATGCTAAACAAATTAAATAGATAATGTCATACTTGACATTGTATAATATCATTCCTGGTAATGTATAATGAAAGATATATCAATGTATAATGTTCAATATCACAGATATTAATGCATAATGTCAAAAATGGATAAATATCAAGTAACTCTGCCTTTTGCCACAATTTTGTTTAATGAGTATTGAGAGTCCAAATTGGTTTGTGCGCCCAACTTGGGGTGTGCGCCCAACTTGTTTGTGCGGCTAGCTAGGAGATAAATCAAAATTTATATTTAATTAATTACTTCTATTTAGAAGAGTTTAAGTTTGAACTCCTATTTTGAAGATATGATCCATGTTTTACTACTATTTAGGGGGTTTTCTTTTGCCCTTTCAAATGAAGATTTAAGAACTGAAATCAACCATAAAAAATCTAATTTGGCAAAAAAGAGAAACGATTGGGGGCCTCAGTATGAAATAAAGCGCAGTGGAGTCCTAATCATGCATGATCATAATTACCTAATAAAAATCATCGGCAGTCTAATTAGGAGAAAGTGTGGAAATGATTTGATTAATTAAATCATTTACTCCTATTTAGGAGAGTTTAAGTTTGAACTCTTACTTTTATGGTATGATACTCCCTCCGTCCTATAATGATCTTCCCGGTTCGCAAAACGAAGAAAAATCCCAAGTTTTTTCAATCTATTTTATTTAAATATTGGTATAGAAATAAAAAATAAAACATACATATTTAAAAACTACACCAAAAGTTCAACAAAACAAGTGGTGACAAGAATATTTTATTTTATCATATAGGACATGAAAAAACACAAATAAATATAAATTCCCGTGAAGTTAGAATAATGCTCTGGGAAAATCATTATAGGACGGAGGGAGTATATGTTTTACTCCTATTTTTGTCATTCTCCCTAAAAGTTACTCCGTATTAAAAGTCGGGCTGAAATACTCCTTCCGTTGAAAATGTTTTTCATGTTTGACCTTTCACATTCTCGAATATTGCACTTTGATCATTAATATCTATATTTATACATAGGTATATTTTATTAAAAAAATTGATATTTGAAAATAGGAATAATCTTTTCGGACAGGAATAATAAACACAACCATAATTTTGGTAGAGAGAAAGTAGTTATTAAGGGATAGACGACGGGGAAATTTCAAGTGTAAAGATGAACATCTAACATGCCCACGAAGTAGTCTAAGAGCATCTCCATTGGAGATGCTATGCTATAATTCAAAATAGATGATGAATAGTAGAAATGCTCCAGCCATGAAGTGCTATATTCAATATTTGCTATTTTTTTTGTCTCAAACGCAGAGATAATAAATAGGAGTTACTGTAGCACCGTGTATATTTACATTATGCAGAGTTTATAATAGAAGATAGACTTTAAATTAAGCTCTTGGGCTGGAGGTCAAAATCAATTAACAGTACCAGCTATAATTGCTATTTTTTGTTTTTAGCTGGCACATTGGAGATGCTCTAAAGAAGTAATTTTCATCCTGGAGGCATTTATAAACAAAACTCAACCAGCAAATTGATGAACTCTTGTTTGGTGTCAAAATAATCTACATCAAGAATGGACCAATAAATAAAGCACTTAATGGAGGAAAGAAAAACATCTAACATTCCCACCAAGTCATTATCTGGTTTTATTCTGAGCGACATAGTTTCACACATATATGTTTGAAAATGTGTCTTTCAGAACAAAACTTGATGAAGTAGAATTGCACCTAGGATGACTCTGACTCTAGAGCAAAGCTTAAGAAGACGAACCGAATCTGAAGAAATGGACAGATATCCCGAAGCGGAGGGATCCGGGGGAGATGAAGTTGAAGGCGGCGGCAGGAATGCCGGTGGGCTATTATTCCCGGTAGCAGTACTACCAGAACCGCCGGTGGTGTTGGTACTGATGGTGATACCTAGAAAATAGGCCGGAGTTCCGTCGGGCTTGAACAGGCCGTAGTTGCGCTCGGAAGCCGGCCCGGGCTTCAAGTTCTCATTGAACATGGCGAACACGAAGATGTTCAGCTCTTCTTGGGGCCGCATCGGAGTTCCCTTCTTCTGAGTCACCAGATGCATAAGGTTGCAGTTGTACTTCCTGGCGTTCTCCGGCGTCGCTCCGGCCTCGTCCGCGTCCCCCTTCGAAGGCCACCCGGTCTCCGAGATCTGGACGCACACGTTCCTGTACCCCAGCGGCCCCAGCGCCGAGTGGACCGCATCGATCTGGGCAAAGAGCATATTGTCATAGTGGAGATTGGTTTTGGGGTCGACGATCCCATCGTTGGGCTGGAAGAGCACGAAATCGAGGGAGACCTGCTTCGGATTAGCCTTGTACGCGAAATACGGGTAGGCGTTTATCAGAAACGGCGACCCTGTTTTGGA